TGGCGCGGAGCGGAGCGGGGACGCGGGGACGCGGTACCTGCTGGCTCTGCCGTGCGCATCGCTCCGACCTCGCTGGCGGGCAGGCACGTCCCATGCCCCTGGATGAGGGCGGAGAGGGGCCGGGGCTCCCCGGCGGGGACGTGGCAGCGGAGCCCCAGCCGGCAGCGGGCCGTGTAGATCCCGCAGGGCTGTCCCGGCCCGAGAGCGCAGGTCTGGCAGCAACCGCAGCCGGGTTGCCGGGCCGCCTCTGGGCAGTCGGACGCGACGGGCGGGCAGAGCGCGATCCTGTCCGGACTGCACGGGGCGCAGCGCACGGGCTGCCCGGGGGCCAGGCGGGGACCCAGCAGCGCCGGCAGCAGCAGGGCCGGCAGCCAGGAGCGGCGCAGCACAGACCGCGGGCGACCCATGCTGCTGAGGAGGGAGCGCGGGAGGGCAGCTCGTCGGCCTGGGGACCAGGAGGCACTTTGCATACATTCGGCTCACCCGGGCCATTTATACAGCGCTTTGCCTGGCTATTAATCTTTAACCCCAGTTAACTATTATCTGAACAGGAGGGCTGGAGAAGCATCATTTCACTGGCGGTTCAAGTCCCTGGCCACTCTTCCCCTCCCCTTTTACTTTCCCCCTTTATCTATTTTCTTTCCTCCAGACATGAAGGAATGCTTTTATTCCCTCACCCCCACCTCTCTGCACCAGCACAATTAACAAGGAAATATGTAGTGGGGGTTGGAGGCGAAATTGGCAGAGGGCAATGGAGGAATGGGGGGTATCCCCTGCCCTTTTGCCTGTCACAAATGTGTCCTTTTCTTGGCATTTCATAAATATGTAAATGTTAAAAAAAAAGGGAGTGGGGGGAAAGGAAGGAGGGAAATCCCGTTGAAACTGAAGCAACTGACTTTGTATTTCCACAGCAACAAATGCAACAAACCCTTATTTAATTTTCATCATGTGGCTGCAGGTTAGTACACTGACATAACCTAAGAGGAGGCCTCAAGGGTAATAAAGCCATGAGGATTCTGTAACCACTGCACACATGCATGTAGGAGTCTTTGCATTAACCTCCAGGAAGGGCTGCACAGCTGAAGTTGGAGGGATCTCCTGTGCCTTGGCTCAGTTTTGCCACTGCTGCTGGGATGAGAGGAGCTTCAGTCCTCAAAACATGCACTTGAGGGAAATCAGTGTTTGTCAAACAGACCAGAAATTAATTAGATATCTGCTTTTCTGTCTGTCCTGTTTCTCCATCTCCTCATGTATCACCTGAGGGAGGTGTGGGTGGGAAATCTTTCCTTTTATCCTTTGCATGCAACAGTTGTCACTCCAGTGAAAGAAAAAGCACTCAAACTTCACTGTGCTGAACAGATTATTTTATCCTAGTATTCACAGTATGTACCAAGACTGAAATAGCAAATTCTACTGTAAAGTCATCTAATGTAGCATGGTTTTTTTGTTTGGTTGGGGTTTTTTTTTAACATTTACTTGTCCTCTTTTGTAAATGCATCATTTATGTGAAAGAAAGTGAAGAAGAATTGCAGAGCATATTTAACATTCTGTTATTCACTCTTTGTTTTCTGATATTGATACCAAAGGTTTTATTTATCATGTAGTGATTTTTTTATCCATCTATATTCATAACTCATTTCTTAAAAGTATTCTCATGAATTACAAATTTTTACATTTTTACAACTTGACACATTTTCACTTAACTACTTCATGTATTTTATTTAAATTCAAATAGTTTCAGGGTTCTCTAGATACACAAAAGTTGACAACCCTTAAAGCTCATTAGCATTTTTAAGCATTTTAAGAAAAACTAATTTTACATATTTTAAAAGAATTCTGTGGACTTCGGATGTCTAGGAGTAAATTTTGGCTGAAAACCTAGAGCACAACAATTTCTGCAGAACACTGCAATTAAATTTTCAAGCTCCTTTCCCTCTTTAATTTCTATTTTTTCTTGTATACCTGTCTTTGAAAATCAAAATTCTCTTACCATTCAATATGAAATGAAAAATATACAGAAATATGTCTTCTTTCCTCTCCCAAAGAAGAAAAAGAAAACAATGCAAAATTAAGTCTCTTTCATTAAGAAACATGAAAAAACCACAAATGGAAAGTAGACCCAGTTGCAAAATGACAAAGACCCAGAGAACCCATATGTATTAGGATATGTGTACGCAGGTATTCATTCACTTATCTGTGTATCTCTCTCTGCTGTGTTAGATAGCTTTTTATGAACAGAATTGAGGATCATTGACTGACTGCTGAAGATAATCTACTTGCCTCTGAAATTACTATACAAAGTGATTGTCACTGTCCTGCCTGCAGTTCTTCTAAGAAACCCGAGGTGAACTGAAATTGCTTTTAATGATACACGTGAAACATTTCTTAAAAAGGATTTTTTAACTCATCACCATCATTTTTAGGTAACCAAAGACACTTAATGCAAGAACAGAGTCCTTGTCTGACATGCACGCCTACATAACAAAACTTCCATTAGTTTCATTCTCATTCTTCCCAAGTACCATCATATTTTCAGGTCTTTGGCGTATTTTTCCTTCTTGTCAGGCAGTTGGCAGTATCTGAACTGCCCAGGCAATTCCTAAAAATTTGCTGCCTTTTAGAAGTCAGATTTTTGCAGTTTACCCAGTTATACAAACAAAAGATAAACAACACCCTTCTCCACAGATTATAAAACATTTTGAAGTTTTTTTGTTTTGTTTCCTTTATGACTGCAGGTTAACTTGAAATGATGCCCCAGCCTTTTTTTCACTTGTTATCTTTTGTGCAATCAAACTAAGGAAACCTTCAAGTCTGCTAAAGCTTCCTCTGTGAGTAGATGTTTTTCTGCAAAAAAAAGTAGACCCATAAAAATCAGTCCCTTCATATTTCATTTATATAAATGTAATGGACATATGTTAGAGCAGATTATGTTAACTTAGGGCAGTATCGATCAACAAGGTAATGTTTTTGTATAGGTCATGGGACATCAATGAAGTGAAGGCAGTGTATATGTTTATGTAGGCTCTGTTTGATGTAATACTACAACTCATCTACCAATCTGCATCTCTGACCCTGACATTGCTTTAAAGAACACAAACAGATAAGAGTCAGGAGGTTAAAAACATCCATGATGTAAAGTTGTGTTTACTGAGGACTTTTGATGGTAATTTTTAGGTGTTCCAACTGTTGACCCCTAATTTGAACCCCTTGTCAAAAGACACCACATGAATCCTAGGCAAGGATTGCTTTTCTACAAGATCTTTACCATTGGTTTCTCAATAATTTTTAATCAATGACCTCACTTTGCATGTTACATAAAGACAAGGATTTTTAATTTCTTTTTCTTTAAAGTCATGTGGAGTGACTCACAAAATGTAAAGTTTTGTATGCATTTGAGAATAAGTGATCTTTTTCTACTAATCACTAACAATTCAAGTAACTTGTCAAATAATTGCCTGCTGGAACTGCTTCTCTGGATATGTTTAAAAAACCAGCAAAACAACCAGTGGAATATCCTCATTATTTTTCTTTAGGTAAGAAACTAATCCTGCATTGTAAGCTTAATATCCAAAACTACTATGTGATACACACACACACACACACACACACACACACATATATCCATCAAGGATATGAAGGAAAAAGCTATGATAGAAATAAAAAACCCCTAGTTTCTTCTCTGCATTTATTCCATATAAAAAAATGTTTTTTCCCTCTAGATTATTAGGAATTTTTTAGCCAACTAATTGACAGTGCTTATGTTATTGATGAATAATTTGATGCACACATTTGTTGATTGTTGTCACTTTGTGGCAATGACATATAAGCCATTTGGTATTATTCTTCTAGTTGGGTAAAAATGACTTTTAGAATTAGATTCTGGATGCAAATAAGGAGTTGTTTCAAGTCTGGGTTGCACTAACCTTTGCAGAGTGACTTTTGCTATTTTTCTCCAGCAATTAATTTTGCTAGAATGTGGAAAATAATTTATAAATGCCTAAAACTAAAACTGCAGAAACTCTAGTGAGAGGCTGTCTCATGGCAAGTGTAGCTAGGGAAGGCTGGTATGGGCTTTTTGCATTAAATCATGGGTCATGAAAAAAAAAGAGATGAAATGGTAATTTATCTCCTTAGTGGCACCCAAAGTGTCTGGACACTGAATAAAACACCTTGTTTTCAATGTTGTGAATGCATACACCAGCCAGATAACTATTTTCTACAAACTATTGCACTCTTCTGGCAAGACAGGTTAAAGTCCTTTAGTCATTCTACCATAGGCCAGCTGCTCATGTAGTGAGTTTGCCTAGCTGGAGATATAAAACAGAAACTTTGAGTTTCTGTGGTATGACAAAGCTGAAAACATGCTGCAGAGTTTGATTTCCTTTGGACAAGTAACACAGAAAGAAAGCTTCTGCTTCACCCCTTCTGCTGTAGTCAGCATTACTAAACCCAGGTAGTGGTATTTCCTGTGACCAGCCATGGAAATAAAGACTTTTCAGTGCCTACCACAGTGAGCTATAGCTTAGCAGGGACTTTGAAAAATGTAAATGACCCCCTTAGCACTGGCTCCAGGCACCTAAACCAGCATAAGCTGTTTAAATCTCTTTGTATCCTTCAGCCACAGTCTCTCTGAGCCCAGAAACAGAAAAGAACACCACTAACCATGTAATTTGCCCTTTACTGCAGTCCCTGGGGGCTGTAGGCACTGATGGGATGAGACTCCAGCCTTCACTACCTTCAGGTTTACTTGCTGAAGTAAAGCTTTATCATATGCTGATAAAGGAAAAGGCAAATTCCCCAGAGATTTACTCTTAAAGCAGTTTAAGTATAATAATACTTTCAAATACATATTAAGGCATCTCATATGAAGTTTGAGACAGTAACAAAAAATTACCGCTTACTTTAATGTCTGGATCTGTCATGTGAGTTAACTGCCAGCTTGCACATAAAACTCCCCTTTCTCCCTGAACTAATGCATGGCTTTCCAGGAACAAGCATATCCACATGCAGTAGGAGAAAAGTAGGCACTAGTGATGGAGAAAAAGTGACATCCAGTCCCAGACCAGGGCCATCATATTCACAGTCAGCTGCACCACTTAGATGAAAAATGCCTGTGGGAAAACAGCCAGCAATAATTCATCTGTATTGGTTTCTGCCTCATGAAGTACAACAGTAGATATTTGCTTTCACAGTAGATAGACTGAATATTTAAAAAAGCTTACTGCTAACCCAAAACTAGAGGAGCCTCTGATGTTTCAAATTCCTGGTCTTTTTTTCTGAGGTTTCATGGAAACTTTTAGCCTCCGTGAATATATTTGACTCTTAAAATTTGAATATAAAATGCCTTTCTGTCATCTTTTTATCTTTTTAAAAATGCTAATAAAAATAGGAATAAGTCATAGGACCCAGATCACAGTAAGTCGAGAGGTCCATTTTCTCTGGTCATCCATCCT